ATCTTTCACCAATAACTTCCTCATCCCGTCCGTTTCTGCCGACAAAAGCCTTCCATTCTGTACAACTTCTCGGAGCTCCCTTGCATTTGTCAGGTGGGATGCAGCCCGGATCGTGAATCCTCCAACAAAGCCCATTAGACCTTCAAATTCACTCGGTTGACTTTTTGTTCTTTTATCGTCCTAAAATCCTTGTGATGTCGTAGGTGATAGGAGATATTTGGTGTATGACCCTGGTTCCTGGCACAAAGCTCCGAGATCTCCTGAGGGTTCCTGGGTGATAGGAGGGTCTCTTGTTCTAACAAGGTGGCTCAGGATGGCCCCCGGATGGCCTTACCTGCCCGCCCAGAACTGAGACCAAACCAAATCAGCAAGCAACTGGCATCTGGGCACCTGGCAGGAGAGCCCTGAGAGGCCGGATCCCTGGTTAGAAAGAAGGGTGCTTAGACAGGCTCCAGGCCATCCCTCTGGGTTGGTGGGGAGAAGAATGGGCGGGTGGAAGAGCTTGTCTGAGATGGGGCCCCAAAAGCCTCCTCACCCAGGAAGGCAATCATGCAGGGCAGGATGTAGCTGCCAGGACGGCTCCAGCGGAGGGAACAGCTCTGAGGAAACCAAGGCCAAGGAGACAAAGCCACGGGGCTGGCGGAGGCCAGGGGACTGCCTCGGCCTTGAAAATCCTGGAATATGAACCATTTCCACATTGGGGTCAAGAGGAATGTCATAATCATTTCATTTGAGACAAAGACATTTGGCGAACAGAAGTCTGCTGTCCCCAACATCACACACACGGCAGGCTCCGCACCTGGTAAGCTCCTTCTGGACGCAGCCCTCCTGGGGAACAGCTATGCAGTCCGCAGAAGTTACAAAACAAGGCCCTGATGCCAGTGGAGAGGGAACAAAGGGCAGCCAGCTTCTAGAAGAGAGCTGCTGGAAAAGCTGGTAAGCGGGACTTCCATTCAGGCGAACGCAGCCTGCAGCCGCACAGAGCGATCCCAGCCTCCACGGCCCCCGCCCGGCCCGAAGGGTCAGAGGACTGGGTGAGGGGCAGCCGCAGCCCCGGAAAATGAGCACAGAATCTAAGGAGCAGAAAAACCCAGAAAGGAAGACACTCAAATCCTATGGATACATCTGCCCGATTCGACGGACCTGATTTCGAGGTTCTGCTCATCAAGGACTCCGACCAAGAAAACCGAGGCGAGCCAGTGAATGACTGAAAACACGCCTCTGGTGGGGGACCTATTTCCAGAATAACGATCTTTACAATCCAAAACGTAAGACAAGCCATTTAAAAACCGGAACAGTATTTGAACAGACATTTCACAAAGCATGACATGTAAACACCCCAAAAGCACGTGCATGACCACTCAGTATCACTCGCGTTAAGCTCGAAAGGGCAGGGGGGACGCGACTGACAAAACCTGAATAAAGATGTGTGGAGTGAGGGAATTCCATCAAATCATATCAATGTGGGATTTCCCGATTTTGCTTACACGGTGGTCTTGTACGAGGATGTTCCTATTTTCATAAAATATACCCTGAAACACTTGGGCGTGTCTTACCCTCAAATGATTCTGAAGAACGTACCATCTACCGTAGCCCGCCTCCCCCGTGGTTCTACCCAGTTCTGCAGCAGTTACTGCAGTTGAGAGAAAAACCCTCTGAATTCTGAGCTTAACACCAGCTTAGATTCCTTTCTTTCTTTTTTAAAATATTTTATTTATTTATTCATGAGAGACACACAGAGAGAGAGACAGAGACACAGGCAGAGGGAGAAGCAGGCTCCATGCAGGGAACCCGATGCAGGACTCGATCCCAGGACCCTGGGATCACGCCCTGAGCCAAAGGCAGACACTCAACCACTGAGCCACCCAGGCATTCCTTAGATTTCTTTCGAAGTCAGCATGACTGTATGTACATTTTGTTCAAACTAAAAGCCTGATTTACGGCCCGCAGCCCACGCATCGTGCACTTGCTCTGTGAATAAGCTAAAGGAAAACCATCTTGTCCTTGAGATACCTATCGATGCTCCTGCTCCCGCATTCCTTTACGATAAAACTCGTGATTAGGGATCCCTGGGTGGCGCAGTGGTTTAGCGCTTGCCTTTGGCCCAGGGCGCGATCCTGGAGACCCGGATCGAATCCCACGTCAGGCTCCCTGTTCATGGAGCCTGCTTCTCTCCCTGCCTGTGTCTCTGTCTCTCTCTCTCTGTGTGACTATCATAAATAAATAAAAATTAAAAAAAATAAAAAATAAAAAAAAACTCGTGATTCCTGCCTATATGCTAAACTATGAATTTTGAGAGTTTACAGGATGAAGAAAAAAAGAAAAGCACATAACCCTGTAAAAACTGTTCATTCTCATTTCTTCTGTGCAAAGAGCGTGTTCCCTAGGCAGCTGTCCTAACCTGGGCTCGAAGAAAACTCTTCTTTCTTTCTTTTAGAGATTCTAAAAGGTTTGCTCACCTTGTGTAGACACAGCCAAACACCATCCAGAAGCAGATGACATATCATTGGAAGGTCAAAAGTAGCCTCACCCCAGGTCACAGGATGTACATCATTCACCTCGCTTCGCCCCGTCGCACGGGCATCTTATTCTCTCCCGCCGTCACAAGAAGGGTGAGCTCAGTGCAGTAAGATATTACGTGCGACAGAGACCACATTCATGCAACTTTCCTCATGCTATGTTGTTATAATTGTTCCACGTGGTTATTAGTTACTATTGCTAATCTCTTACGGTGCCTGAGTCATAAGTTAAGCTTTCTTACGTGTATGTACGTATAGAACAGAGTCTAGACAGACTTCTAGTCTTCACCAAGGGTCCTGAGATGGTACTTTTGGAACACGCCAAGGCCGTACCTTGTCAGTTGAGTTGGGGATGGGTTTGACCGTGTGGGTTTCCAGAATATATGTATGTTCCTGGTTCGTAGTAACTTCTACACGTAACTCAGTTCTTGCCACCTGCTCTGGAATAGCTCCCAGAAATACTCCTGCCACCCGTTTTGGTGACTTGCCCAGCCTTCCGACACGTAAGTATGGTGAAGTAAGTAAGTATGGTCAGACCTCCATCTCCCTTTGTCCCTTGGGGTCAGCCCCACATCTGTGGGAGTGGAGGAACGAGGTTTGAGGAGCACAGCACCAGGCTCTATTCTGTGCATATTACTTCAATCATCAGACACATAAAGTTGGACGCTCTCCTGTCCGGAACGTGATGATGCAGCATGTACAATATTGGTGCAAATCACACACAAGAGGATTTTATCAGACTGTATGTTGGTGGCGCACAATCCTGAGGCAGTTTCATGAGCCCCGAGATGTGGGATGTGAAGGTCAATGCTTTATCCCCCTCGATGGTCAGTAATTATAATCCACACTAAAGGAACAGCTGTGATGACCTCACCAATCTCCCTATGAGAAATCCTTTTTTTTAAAGATGTTATTTATTTATTCATGAGAGACACAGAGAGAGAGAGAGAGAGAGGCAGAGACACAGGCAGAGGGAGAAGCAGGCTCCACGCAGGGAGCCTGATGTGGGACTCGATCCCGGGTCTCCAGGGTCATGCCCCAGGCTGAAGGCAGCGCTAAACCCCTGAGCCACCCAGGGATCCCCTCCCTATGGGAAATCTTGCAAAATTATTGTCATAGGAAGAGGCAAGAGTATGCTGACAAAAAAAAGTACAAGTGTTAGAATATCAATATTCTAATAGTTTTCTACATGTGCTATCTGTGGATTTGCCAGCTTTTTTTTTTTTAGTGTGAAATTTTTTTTGGAATTTTTTATTCTAAAAGAGTGTCTTAATGCAATTTGATATTCATAATGCTCTGTCCGTTTTTGTATGGAGGCCTGGATTGTAACGCATTGTTCTTAAAGGGGGCCCATGTTTTGGGACCTAATGACCAGATGCAGAGTATGGTGCTGGGCACGTCAACTACAGAGAACATTCTGCGTGAACTGAAGACACCGCCCTCCAAGTGACTCTGGGGATGGAGGAGGATGGGTGATGTGAAGCTGGGGAGATGGGAGACGTGGGAAGGGGCTCTTCCAGAAGTGTGTGGCTTCACAGTGGTGCTGGGAGAGCCAGGAGGGACCCAGACAGTGTGGGTGTGGACTAGGCATCAGCCCTCCACCCATCGGGGGACCTGAAGGGTGTGCACCCCAGAGCAGAGCCATGCCTTGGGTAGCCCTGTCCCTCAACCATCTGCAGGGACCCCTGAAATCCACGCTAGGATGTTGAAGCCAAAGGAATGGGCAGGAGCGCCCCCTCCAATGTCAGCTGATGGTTTCTTGCCCAAGCCTGAAGTTTATTTTTTTAAGACTTCCTTTCTTCTTTCCTTCCTTCCTTCCTTCCTTCCTTCCTTCCTTCCTTCCTTCCCTCCCTCCCTCCCTCTCTCCTTCCTTCCTTCCTTCCTTCGAGAGAGAGAGAGAGAGAGAGAAGAGAGAGAGAGCTGGGGAGAGGAGCAGAGGGATAAGCAGACTCCACACTGAGCATAGAGCCTTACGTGAGGTTCCGTTCCACAACCCCGAGATCATGACCTGAACTGAAATCAAGAGTCAGATACTCAACCAACTAAGCCCCCCCCAAGGTGCCCCACTCAAAGTCTACCTACCATGCTGTGTTCTGTGCACGTTAAAGACAGAATTACTTTCTGGGTGTCTTTGTAGCTCTCTTGAGGCAGATTTGAGAGAAGCTTTAGTGAGTAGTTACTCTACCAGCGCAGCCAGAAGGCCACTCCCATGAGCCACCTCCTGCAGAGTTGGGGGTCCGTGACCTCTTTCTTTATCCCAGGAGAAAACAGGGCTGCACAACCACAGCCGAATAACCTGGAGACTTCCAGCTTAAGGAACCCACAGAGGATCATCCGTAAACAAAGGATGAGGAAGAAATTTATTCATATCATACACTACTTAACAACTAAAAAGAAAGAATAATAATGGATTAGCGTAAACTAGCCAAATAACAGAGCGTTTTTGTGATACGATCTCCTACTATTCCTGCTTCCTTCACCTCACTCTGGCAGCTCTGATTGTTTACTTTCCTCTTCTTCAAAACTAACAATGCCTAAGGGGAGAAAAGAACCATGAGTATATTCCAGAATTTTCTCTTTTGAAATTCTGTGTGCTAACAAATCTTTTGCAATGAATAATATTATAAATACTAAGCACTTATGGGGCCAAAAAAAAACAACGTTAAATTTTATCTTATACAGACTTTCATAGTTTTTCTTTGGTACCAGAGTTAGGAGTTCGTTGGGCAGTCAGGGAGTCAGGGCCAGGGTCCCCAACAAGAAAATACGGAGTCAGGACAGCTAAGATAAAACAGCACCGACATCCTATTTTGTAGCTAAGACGGGACCAGACTAGCATTCTGCTCTGTAGCCTTTGCAGAAGTGACTTCTGCAAAAGTCCTAAAATAAGACAATTAACCACAGATCATTTGTCAATATCACAGGTAAGAGGCAATTAAGACCTAAGCCCCCAAACGTAGCAAAATAATAATAATAATAATAATAATAATAATAATAATTAATAATAATAATTAAAATTAAAATTTAAAAAAACCATAAGCACATGGACATTAGCTTAGGTAGGTACGACTCAGCACACCCTGATGTTTGAGATAGCTCCTCAAAAGAGCTCATGAACACCCCTCAACTTAGGAACTCCAAGGGCAGCTCTCTCGGGTCCCCTTCCCTCTCCGGGAGCTTTATACTCTTGTTCAATAAACTTTGCTTTGCTGCCCAGCACTCTTCGTCTCATCTACCCCTTCATTCTCTGAAGTGATGTGACCAAGAACCCCGGTGCTAAGGGGTCACAAATCCTGCGACACCAGCAATAAACTAAACAGAAGCTTTCTCCGAAGAAACTGCTGAGGATATTCGCGTGAGAGTGAGCTCAGTAAGCACCTTTGCCTGCACACGCTGTCCAAATAGGACCAGCTTTACAAACGCGAGGCGTCACCGTGCGGCCCTTGCGTCAACGAAAAGAAAGGCAGGGACTGGCTACGTTCTGATAAGACACTATCTCAAAAGTATCATGAAATTCAGAGTTATTTTTTTCTTGTGAAGCAAACTCTGTAGCTCTCACTGCTGGCGATGAAAAGAGATCAGTAGGGTGAACCTCAGACTATATATTCCTATATAGGAATCCTGTTAAATCTTGAGTTTTTGTGATTCTCATGCGATGTTTGCTACCCAGGCCCACTGTTTACTTAGGCCCGTTTTTCATTTAAGGCACTCTGACATGTTGGCACCTGCCTGGAAGGTGCCAGTAGCACTGTCCCTCCCCTCTGCCCACTGCCCTGCCCAGCCCCCAAGTCTCCAGACAGAGCCAAGTGTCCCCCAAGGACACAGCCCAGGAGCTAAAGGAAACGCCCCTTTGCCCAGGGCTGACTCACGAGTCCGCAGCTCAGGTGCCAGCTGGTCCTGAGGGCATGGACTCGGCCCAGTTTCCCAGCCAGGCCCCAGAGACTCTCATCCTCAGTACTGCTCCCGCCTGTCCCCTCCTTCTGTTCTCACCCCTATGGCTTCTAGGTGGGTAAGGCCTCACCTCCTGAGGGAGCCCCTGCCTCCTGCCTGCCTGGCCCCAGGGCACCCATCCCCACTGTCCCCCCTCACTGCCTTCAGGGTCAAGTCCAATGCCATGGTGAGCCCTCAAAGAAAAGTCCATCAGAAAGAGGTTTATCTCCTCACTTTCTTGGCCAAGTGACCTGCCCTGCTCCCCATACGCCCCCTGTCCTCAGACTTGCACTCTCCCTGGGGGGATTTCCCTCTGGTTGCTCCCTTCTCACCACTCCAGCCTTACAACTCGCCTGAGGTATGTCCTCTCAGAAATACCTCTGCTGCTGCCCCAGTTGCTCCTTGCACCTTCCTGTACACAGCAGTCAGCAACAGTCACACAGCAGGCACACAGCAGGCACATAGCGCTCACACAGCAGGTCACCAGGCACGCACGTAGTGGGCACACAGCAGGCACACAGTAGGCACACAGCAGGCACATAGCGCTCACACAGCAGGTACACAGTGGGTACATGGTGGTCACCAGGCACACACGTAGTGGGCACACAGCAGGCACACTGTACTCACACAGCAGGCACACAGCAGTCATACAGTGGCCACACAGCAGGCACACAGCAGGCACATAGCGCTCACACAGCAGGTACACAGTGGGCACATAGTGGTCACCAGGCACGCACGTAGTGGGCACACAGCAGGCACACAGTAGGCACACAGCAGGCACATAGCGCTCACACAGCAGGTACACAGTGGCCACACAGCAGGCACATAGTAGTCACACAGCAAACACACAGCAGGCACACTGTACTTACACAGGAGGCACATAGTGGGCACACAGTAGGCACACAGCAGGAACACAGTGGGCACACAGTAGGCACACCGCAGTCAAGTCACTGATTCTCCACTCACTTCCCATCAGGCCCTTGGTGCCTCCCAATTCCCCCCAGCCAGGCAAGCACAGCTCCACCTGTCGGAAGTGCTCCGCCTCCGCCAACGTCTCCACGTATGGAGCATTCGTGTGCCATTTAAATGCTCTTCAGATGCAGGCATCCTCCACCCTCACGGATCTCAGGGCACATGATACAGAAGCAGGATGCAGGGAGATGAGAAAGAGGCCATCCTCTTTCTTTCCCAGGTGCTAACGGGAAAGCCTGGTGTCTGGCCCCTTCGCTCTCAGCCACAGGCCACCCAGCTCCCGGCACGAGTTTCTGCGCTGCACCACTAGGGTAGTCAGAACCACTGGCCAACAAAACCCTAATTCTATGTGCACCTAAAGCATTTAGATTGAAACCTGTTTTACAGGAGTTAATTATTTCGGATATTATCTTCAAAACAATGCTGAGTACGAACATTCAAACAAGAGATTTGCTCTTAATTTGCAATAGAGACAAACCAAGTGGCACGGGGTCCCTGACCCAGCAACCACTGTCTGGAGCCAGCTGTTCCCAGACCGCTGGTTCCCTCACCACCAAGATACCAGCCTTAAACCAGACGTAAGAAACTGGGGTTCAATAAGAAAGCCCTCTCTGAACTTCCTTGTGGTGCCCACAGCACTTGGAAGGTTTTAGAAGATTCTAGGAACCTGAAGCCCCAAGCAGACAGAAGGTCAATCCCTGGCCTGTGACCTGCAGATGCAGAGGCTTCTAGATTAATGGTACATTCAAGCCCACTTAACAAGGGCTGATTCCCAGCACCGCTGGCCTCTAACCTCTAATCATACTCCTGTGATCTGACCATGGTAAAATCAGGTTAAAAAAAAAAAAAGGCATGTTATAAATCTCTAGTGAGACTCTGCAGCCTGAGGCTGTTCTTTTGATAAAAATGGAAATAATTAGCACATGACAGGAAGAGAGAGGCCACGCGGGGCAGCAAGCTGTCCCCGCTACAGTCAAGGGGTTTGTCGGAGGGCCTGAGACAGCAACATCCCCACAGCCCCATGCAAGTCCTCAGCCAGCCCCTGAGATCTCGTCCCAGTCCCTGGGGTGGTCCAAGGAGGCCGAGGACAAAGGCAGGAGAATCCAAGAGCCCTTCCCAGTGCGCACCTGCCTCCTGCCCCGGCCTGTGCGTGCTCACCCTGGTCGGTGGTGTCATATCGGTAATCGTCCCGGCCGTACTCCCGGCTGTCCTCCCTGGTGGAATCTCCGTCATCCTCCCCAGGCCTCAAGGAGTCAGTCTCCCCTTCGGAAATGTCTGCCAGAGCCTGGCCCTCCTCCATGAGCTCCCCGTCACCTGCGATGAAGCCACGGGAACCGCTATCACGTAGCCCGCAGGCCTGTGTCTCCGGCGGCTGCTTCCTCACTGCCAGTGCCCCTCTCTCCTGCTGATAGGCCTCCCTCCGGGGACCACCTTCCCTGCTTGAAGTCACCCAGTCCAGCCCAGATCTGGAGATCTGTCCCCTGGCTCGGCGACGGGTTCAGGTGGGGCAGCTCTACTGCATAAAGTCAAAGAGCATTGCTCTCCAAAGGGAAGGAATGCCCACACGCAGAGACCGGAGAGCGGAGGCCTGACCCTGCCCTGCCTGGGGCTGTCTCCACCCCGACCCCTCCAGCTGGAGGAACCCCAATAAGTTAGCATTATTTCACTTGAGCCAGTTTGAGTTGGCTTTCAATCACTCACAATGCAAGGACTCCTGCCCAGTGTAACCTTCTTCAACATCCCATGGAGCCTGGGCTACGTCTCAGGAGGCCCAGTGGGATGGGGATGGAGAGCCACCGCCACGTCTTAGGAAGGACTTGTCACCAGGCTGCTCTCAGCCCTGGCCCCAACTTACACCCGCAGCCCATCACTGACCAAGGTGGGCGGGCTTTTAGCTGCAGGGCTTCCCATGGGACCAATAAGGTTGTCCATCAACCAGTCAGTCCCACTGCCCACCCCTCCTTACACCCCCCCCGGGAGGCTCTGACCCCCTCCCTAGCCCCCCCCCCACCGACCCTGACAATATCCTGCACACAAAACAGGCCCAGAGTCTAATTCCCAGAGCCCTACCTACTAGCGGCCCACAAAGAGAAGATGCCCAGCACCCCACCCCAGAAGTGCCCCGTACCCCAGAAGCGCCCATACCCTCAGCTCCTGGAGCCTCTTCTGGGCCAGGCGCCTCTGCAGGTGGATGCTCCTCAGGGAGGGTCGGGGTCCACAGAGCCAGTTCCGTGATTTTGGTGGCTTTCCATTTTGGAACCAGAGTCATCATCATCGTCTCTTCCTCCTCCTCCTCTTCTCCTCTTTCCTATTTTAAGTTTAAAAATGTCAAATTACCAACATGTGTGTAGACTCGGCATGGGATGTTCACAGCGAGGGGACATTCGGGCACTGTGACAGCCCAGTTGTCAGCTGTCCCTGGTGTGATCTGGGCTTGAAGGTGCGTCTTGGGAGCACCTAGAGGAGGCGCGGACAGGCATCGCAGCGCGGCACCCATGCGCTCCTGCTCACGCCGTGAACAGCTTCCAGGCTTGACATCCCCAGCCTTCTGGAGCCATTAAGCAGTGACCAAGGCTGCGTGTGGCTTTCAGTTGCTCAGTCACGTATTCCAGGTCTGAAGAAAGGGCTGAAAGCATCCTAGGATGGCCATGTAGCATGGAAGGGCCTGAAAACTAATGCCCTAGAATCAACGATTATGGGGGGAAGACGAGATCCCACAAAAGCAGAGTGAGAGTCGATCACCTCTAACTGGGGGATCTTTTGTAAGAGTCTAACTTCGGCAACAGCCAGCAGCCGGCACGTGCCCATTTGGCCCAGTGTAGGGGCCTAATCCCCAATCTCATAACTATCCCAAAATTCCAAAGATCTGAACATCAATCCCACAAATAAGGAAGATGTCACTGTCACGTTGAGGATCATATGTCCGACAGTGACAGAGACCCACCTATTACTTCCACTGAGTCACTTAGAAATAGATGACTCGGTTTCAAAGTTTCTGAGCTCTGTCCCCCACGAGGGGACACCAGTGCCCTAGGATCGCAGCAGAGCCCCCGGGGGCTTGTGGAAACACAGGTCTGAGCGCCTGCATTGGGATATGGGGGGGGGGGCCCTATCACCCGCGCTTCTAGCCAGGGCCACGGTGCTGCCGATGCCACAAGCCCAGGACCACACATGGAGAACCGCCCCCTGACCACCTGCTATCTCATGTTCTCTGTGCGTGTGACCCTCGGTTTATCTGCGTAGCACGACCCCGGTTGTCCTCCCGGAAAGCACCAGTGCGGCCTCAGACCTAGGTCCTCAGGGTGTGCGGTGGTTCGCAGGCTCATTCCTGAACGGGAGCAGTGCTGGGGGCTTATGGCCATATTCCCCCCTTAGGTGTCAGGATGTTCTTTCTACTCTCTCCCCTGCATCCCGAAACACTCACTTCTAAGAACTTGGTCCAGGTCAGACTAAAACTGTCCACTACTCTGCTGTTTTAGCTCTTGTCACTTCACAAATCACAATAGCAGCTCAATCTCTAACGAGACCCTAATGGCCAGATTTGGGGGGTGGGGTGGGGGAAGTGTAATAAGTTTAGCCAGCAGGTTGCTTCAGGGCCCAGTAGGGGCGTGCCAGCCCCAGGGAGAGCCCAGCAAGGACTCCCTAGGCGCTGTCACAATCTAACTACGTAGCAGTCTACTGTGTCTGTGGTTCCCAACTATGTGTGCGGAGCCCTCCCGAGGGGGAATGCGGGGAGCAGTCACCTGAGCGGGGGAGACCCATCAAATTCCTCCAGATGCATGGCCTCTGGGAGCCCCTCTCACTCAGACTACACGTCCCGGGATCCGGGCAGAAACGATCCTGGGGGGTGGGGTGGGCCTATTTTTAGCGACAGAGTCAAGCATTTGGCCACTTCAAATTGGGTAGCTAGCTGAGAAACCGACCCTCGCCACAATCCACGGCAGCTGGTCCGAAGGGACGGTGCAGACAAGTGGGTGGCATAAGGCCAGGGGACAGGCCACCGGGAGCCCACGGGGCATTCTGGCCACGGCAGAGGAGGAGGACCTCGGGGAATCACAGGCTGTTTCGGGGAACAGAGGGCCCCAGGCAGAGCGACCAAAGGAATGCAAGAGGACGGGGAGCAGGAAAAGAGGGGCGGAGGGCAGGCCTGGGCCTGGGGGTGTCCTGGGAGGAGGTGCCCAGGGAGGCCCGGGGGAGGCAGAGGGTGCTGAGCTATTTCACTCCATCGCCTGCAGATCGGGTCCCTTCATACTAACCGGGAAGCATCGAGCGAGTATTCACATTGACGTCACATGCTGGAACAAAAAGGCAAAAAAAAAAAAAAAACAAAAAAAAAAAACATGCACAGCACAAGCCGCACACCTAAAGTGCTGTCGCCAAACAAACCTGGTGGCACCACGGCCGCCGATTCCGGAGCTGGATGCCGCCCAGAGCAGGGCCGACTCGGGGCCAGCTGGCTCCTCTTGGCCAAAGCTACGCGTAGGCTCCAGCAGCAACCGTGAACGATACCGTTTAGTTCTGGAAATCCAGGTCTAAACTACGGCACGCGCACACAGGAGGACAGCAGGAAGGCTGCCGAGAGCCGTGTGACCTCGGATCGGGGGCTCGACATCCCAGGCAGCCCTCCGACCCACGGATACAGGGAACCGCCTGTCGCCCCGCCACTCACCACGTCCGTTAGGCGGTACTCCCCATGCTGTTCACATCCGACATCAAACACGTACTTTCCAGGGCCGACAGGCTACGAGCAAAGAGAAGCCAAGCAGCGCTTCACTCCTTGCGTTCCCCACCCCAACGGAGCACGCAAAATGCTGCGGAGATGTCACCTCCAGAAACACCTGCCCAGGGTCAGGGAGGGGGACACCCCATGTGTGTTAAAGAAAGCTTTTAGGAACCAACGGCTGATGGAATTGCCAAGTATAGGGCCTGTTTGGTTTGTTATTTAAGCTTTAGTTTTATCTCAATAAAAAGGATGCGTTCATTACAAAAATGTCACCCACAGGCTCACAAGCTAGAGACAGGAGCGCTAATAACACTGTGACATGGTCTTGGGGCGCCCGGATGGCTCGGTCGGTTAAGTGTCCGACTCGTGATTCTGGCTCAGGTCGTGATCTCGGGGTCATGGGATCGGGCCCCACCCGCCCTGGCTCCGTGCTCACGGGAAGTCTGCTTGAGATTCTCTCTTTCTCCCTCTGCCCCTCACCACCACACTCTAAATAAATACACAAAGAAGTAAGATATTTGTTTAAAAAAATATTGTGACATATTCTTTAAAACCTTATTCCTTATTTCTAGTATATAGATTTTTCTAAATAAAAGTTTGACCATGGGACACCTGGGTGGCTCAGCGGTTGGGCCTCTGCCTTCAGGGCCATGACCCTGAGGTCCCGGGATCGAGTCCCACATCGGGCTCCCTGCAGGGAGCCTGCTTCTCCCTCTGCCTGTGTCTCTGCCTCTCTCTGTGTCCCTCATGAGTAAACAAATAAAATCTTAAAAAAAAAAGGTTGGACCATAATTACGTACACTGACTCATACACTCTATTTTTACTTAGAAATGTGGCATAAATGAATTCCCATATTTGCAAATCGTCGTACATGATACCAATCTGTCAGCCTGGTATTTTCTCTCATTTAAGAGTTATAATCTATTTTACCCATTTACTATCATTAATATTCGGTGTGCTGGTGTTATTCTTTCACCAAGACCCCTGCAGGAGACACATTCGGAGTCACCTCTTACGTACACTTGTGAGATTTTCCTCAGGGAAGTTTTCACAAGTGGAATTTCTGGCACATACACAGACACACGATGTGTACATATATACTCACAAAATATATAGACTCACTATTTTTTTATGTATTGATGACAATGAGGCTCTAATAATTCTCCTTCCCACAACATCACTTAAGAGCCCCTTGCATTCAAACCCTTGTTTTTCCTGGGCATTAACATTTTGTCCTATCTTTACATTTTTTAAAAAATATGAAGAACAGGATCTCATCATTAAGTCACATCTTTAAGCTATTAAATCATCGATCGACGCAAGTGCTTTATACATTTATACGTAATGTTACAAATATCCTAATCCCATTGGTCATTTATGTCTTAAATTTTCTTTATAATGTGTTCTAATCTACAAGGTATTATTTTTATCTAAAAATAATAACCCAAATAACCCAATATGATATTTTAGATAAAAAAATATAGATTTTTTTTATCTAAAAAAAACAACGCAAATCTATTGGGTTTTCCTTTACGCTACTGTTTAGAAAGTCCTCTTTCAAAAAAAAATAATAATAATAAATAAATAACATTGAAAAAAAAAAGAAAGTCCTCTTTCCTCATTTTAAAGTTGATGAGCATTTTATCTGTAATTTTTTTTTTTTACATCTAAACCTTTACTCCCTCTAGTGCATGTCTTCATCTAATGATGGACAACAAATTCTGACTTTGTTTTTCTCCCAAAATGGCTATCAAGTTGTCCGAACATCACTCCTCGAGTTCTCCCCTTTTCAGGAGCTGAGTCGCCGTATGCACGTGAATCTGCCCCTAGACTTTCTAATCTGCTACACTGATCTGTATTTCTCCATCCTGGTATCTCAGTTTTAATTATCAAGCTTTATTTAAAATGTCTTTTAACAACTTGACCGTAAGGATTTGAAAAGGCAATTCCCTGAGGAAGAAAGTCAAACCAGTAGCACAAGTGTGTAAAGATGCTGGACTTCACTAGGAATCAGGAAATGCACATTAAAACCAGGACTTTTTTTTTTTTATCCATTGGATTTGCAAAAACATTAAAGACTGGTGATGTCCAACGTTGCAGAATGTATGACAGAGGCTCTCGGAGTCTATTGGCCAGAATGTGAACTGGCACGGCTTCTTAGGGCAGTTGGCAATAGCAATCATGATTCAAAATGTCAATATTTGTAGACTCAGCAATTGTGATATCTAACCTATGTAAATATTCCAAATGCGCAAAAAGATAGGTGTCTCTGTGTTTTCATGTCCTGATGTAACGTGATCCCGTTTACATAGTGACAAGCCCCGTGCTGCATGTAAGTGTGCGCAGACGTGCTGCACAGAAGAACGTGGCCGGGTCACACGCCACGGCAGGGAAGAAGCAGGGGGAGAAGGGAAGGCTGGAGCTCAGGTGGGCGGTGGAGGGCCGGGTGCCTGGAGACAGCCGACCCTTCAACAGCGCTGGTCTACACTGCACGGGTCCACTTATAGGCAGATTTTTTTTTTCAATAAATACAGACCAGTGCTGTGAATTTCTCTTCCTTATGATTTTTCTTTTTTTTCATGATTTTTAAAAGATTTTATTAATTTATTTGACAGAGAGAGAGCATGAGCTGGGGAGGTGGGCAGACAGAGAGGGAGAAGTAGGCTCCCCGCTGAGCAGGGAGCCTGATGCAGGACTCGATCCCAGGACCCTGGGATCATGACCTGAGCCGAAGGGAGACGCCTAAACCCCTGAGCTCCCAGGTGCTCGGCTTCCTTATGATTTTCTTAGTGACATTTCCTTTCCTCTAGCTTACTTTATTATAAGAGTTCAGCATATAATACATATACAAAGTATGTGGCTTATTTTATTGTAAGAATAACGTGTGTAATACCCATAACATACAGAGCATGTGTGAATCGACTCTTTATGTGATCGGTAAGGCCTCCAGGCGACGGCCCACCGTCAGCAGTTAAGTTTCAGGGGAGTCAAAGTCCCATGTGGATCTTTGCCCGGGGTCGGCGCCCCTGACCCCTGCCTTCTTCACGGGTCAACTGTACCTGCGTGTCATGTGCATAGCTTTCACTAACTCGCAGAACTAGGTTAGTGTAGGCTCGCCGCCTTCATCGATGCTTCCAGATTCGCTTTTGCCAAATTCTCTTTCCCTCCACACAACTCCCCAGGAGAATTTTGCTGGGAATTACACATGCAATTTATAGATTCGGGTCGGCGGGGGATGTGCTGCTTTACAAAGACTTGAGAGTAGAATCTGTTAATTGGGGCATGAATTCTACGTAAGTGGAAACTGAGTTTTAAGAGAGTCTGAGGCGACTTCATTAAATCAGTTCAAAATTCGCTATGCCAACTTGGGTTGTTTTTTTTAAAATATTTATTTATTTATTTATTTATTTATTTATTTAAGAGAGAGAGTGAGAGCAGAAAAGGGGCAGAGGGAGAGACAGCTGAGCACACGACCCTGAGGTCACAACCTGAGCCGAAACCAGGAGTCGGAGGCTTAACCCACTGAGCTACCCAGGCACCCCCCTCCATGTCACCTCCTAAAGCCTCTAATTTGCTCGGCAAACTCTTCAGGGGAAGTTTCTGCCCAACCCCAGCTCGAAGCCACGAGGAGCGCCAGCGTGGTGGGGCCGAGTTATGAGGGCTTCTCTGCATCCCGGCAGGGCTTGGCACAGCCGTAGAGCCCGCCACACAGAAATGACCAATCGTGGGCACCGCGGACTGGACACCGTGACACCCAAGCCCACGCCCAGGGTGGGTGGGCAGGCCTGCAGCAAGAAGCTCGTGGGTCGGCCTCCCCAGGGCCCCAGCCCCATGCCTCCCAGGGCAAAGAAAGTCCAAACACACACATGGTCAACCGCAGATGTTTCACGGCCGATCTATCTACGACGAGGAGCACATATGAGAGGCAGGATGCCCCCACGTTATAGCAACGGGATGGATGGCAGCCCAGGGAGGGTGGGGATGTCACTGACATGCGGAGAAGAGAAGCAAGTGCCCTACACCCCACCCTTTGCCAGCATCAGAGGCCTGGGGAGACGCATGGCTGCCCACCCTCTGTATTTGGGGGGGGGGTTCTCTGGATTTTTGGTATTCCTCATTCACATATTTACATAGACTGGGGGGAGAGGCTATTGTGCATTTCATTGGCACACATTGTTTCCCGCTGACTTACGTTTTTGTTCAAGAACTTGCCCTGGTATCTGTGGTTCAAGTGAATGAGCTCAGCTGCTCCCTCTTGCTGCCCGTTCACCCAGGTACCTACATACTTGCTGCCCGTCTCTGCGTAGAAATAGGTGCCTTGCCCGTGCCTGGTTAAGACAGAGAGGAGAGTGCATTTTGCTCCGACACAGTGGAAAACCTTCCAGATCTGTAAGAAAGCTATTTAAATGGAGGATGTCTACACTTGGCTTCTCTGTCTTTGCCCCACCAGAGCACGCTCCTGCTCTGTGTGCCCACACATGGGAGGGGCACTGCCCACAGGACAGTGACTGCCTCTTTGCACATCAGCCAGGCCACGGGGGTGGGGGGTCAGAGGCGGTGCTCCTGGGAGCTGTGGCCCTGTCCCCAGGAGGGTTCTTCGGTGGGCTCGTTGCCATGGGGGCTCTTGAACCAAGGACCACGTATTGTCCCAGCAAGTCTGCACCTGCCTGGCAGTGTCACCTCTGGCATGCTCACCTTCAAGCCATGAAGGGCTGCAGCTGCCTGGCAAAGCTGGCTAGTGGGCTTTTGTCATGATTGTGCTTCATGCTAAGGCATCATCCTATTCCCATTACATAAATAGGTCTACAGAACGGAAGAGAGAACGCAAACCTTTGGTGAGCAAACCACTCTCCAGTGTAGGTATCATTATTGACGTAGTAGTACACACCATAGCCATGCCTTAGGTCATCGGCCCACTCGCCTGGAAGGGACGACACAAAAGCAGGCCCGGGTGAGAGGCACGGGATGGCCTTCATCTGCTGCCTCCTCCCTCTGTGACTCCCCTCTGTCCCCCTGCCCCTCTGGCTCCATGGCATGGCATTGGTGGGGGGAGGGCTGGTTAAGGGAAGCTGAGTCAGGAGCTCACCGGGGGCAGGTCCGGGCAGGTGTATGCAGGTGGGCCACAGTCACCTGTGTGCGCCACCAGCGGGCGTCACAGTTGGCCACGGGCAGAGCTTGGATTCAGATCAGGCTTTTGTCTCCCTACCCCACACCCTTGCTGCTTGCATGTGTTTAGCAATCCAGTAACAACTTCGAAGCTTGATGATCCCTCCTCAGCCTCTTGCCAACAGCTCACACTATTTCCCACTTCATCACCTGGCTCCCGCACACCTTTCCGGCCTGGGTGCCCCGGGTGTCCCACCTGCACACCAGCTCCACGCATGTGGATGCCGCACGGTTCCCAACCACGGCCTCTGCTTGGACTCCTCCCTGACTGTCCCTGCCTACGCGCCTCCACGCAGGGTCCTGCTAATCTCCTGCCAACTTCCTAAGAAACACTGGAATTGGCAAAGGTACCATAAAATTCCTAACACCTCTACCGTAATGACAACAGCAATCTGGTTAGTGAATGTTGTCAATTCTTGAAGGTTGATCCCTGTACCAGGAGACTTAGGGCATCCTCCAATCTTACAGCTCCCAAGTGAAAGAAACTTGATAGAGGTCTCCAAAGTTGACGACTATCCTTAAAAAATCACATGGCACCGCTAAGAACAAGTTATTACTCTGAATCACACTTTTCTAGACTGTGAATAATTTTTAAAAACTAATTTTGATATGTCTTTGATCAAAGACAGAAGACAGGATTCTCTATTTTCTCCGTAGAAAGGGACATCGCAAAATTGTTGTCAGAGACACTCCATTACGAGCTAGAAAGGTAAGGAAGAGGCGTGCTGCAGGCACGTCAGACATGGATTTTTAACACTTCTGTTCAGGAGAAATCCTCATACACTTCTGTTCAGGTCGGTTGGCTGTGGTCCGGGTTGGTTTTCCTCCAGGGGCACACGGTCCCCTTACAAAGCTCCCCACGGGTGTTCACCCCACCATGGTCCCCAGGGCTTCCAGGGCTCCCCGGTCTAGAGCTCTGGGGATGAAAGACCATGTAAAATGAAATGCTCTGCGGCATCTGGGTGGCTCCGTCAGTTAAGCATCTGACTCTTGTTTTCTTTTTTAAAGATTTTATTTATTCATTCATGAGAGACACAGAGAGAGAAGCAGAGACACAGGCAGAGGGAGAAGCAGGCTCCATGCAGGGAGCCCGATGAGGAACTCGATCCTAGGACCCCGGAGTCACGCCCTGAGCCGAAGGCAGAGGGACTCTCTCTCCCTCTGCCCTCTCACCCCCGCTCATGCACATGGGCTCTCTCTCTCTTTCTCAAACGAATAAGTAAGTAAATAAATAAAATCTTTAAAAAATAAAAAATAAAAATAAAATGAAATGCTCTTTCGAGAAGCTCTCTTCCACTAAAATGCAGGTTAGTCACTGTCTGCCCTGCTGGCTCCCTCCGCTGCTGGGTCAGCTATAGACATGGAGAGACAGGAGCTGACACTGGTGGGGAATCACCCCGGTGATGGTTCCCAACAGCGACGGGCTTTGCACTGGCCGCCTCCACTGGGACACGTAATAACCGCATCACATTTTTACGGAGACAACACCCAAAACCAGAGGGATCCACGCACATTGCCCAAGGCCGCACAGCAGGACCGAAACAAAAATCTCGGTTTCTCTGGCTCCAACTTCATGCCCTCTTCACAAGCACCCCCAAGGGCCAAGTGTTCATGCCTTCCTTTGGCTCCTGCCCTCGAGAGCTTCCAGAATAGCCAGCTTCAAGCCATCCTATTATCTTATTTCTCCACAATTTCCTTACTCAACATCTTCATCTCCATTCACCCCTTGCAGCTGGCAACAGGGCCAATGCGGGAGAGGGGTGCTGGAGAGTGGTGCTCCCTCTCCTTTCCCAGGCCTCACCGACCCTCCGTCCCCACACCTCGCCATCTGCAGAGGTGGTCCACACACCCCTCCGAAGCCTGGCCCCCTCCGCTCCCCTCCAACCTCATCCCCTGCTCCGCCAAGCACCCCTGCCTCCCTGCCTCTGCCCAAGGGGCCCTCACAGCAGGGGTGTCCGCTCATCCCTGGGCTCCCCCACCGGGCCCGCCTCCTGTCTGGGAGATCACCAATGCGCCCCACACCTCGGGCTGGGGCCGAGCGCACTAGCTACCCTGCAGGAAACCACTCTGCACGTCCCTTAGGATGGCAGCCGAGCAACACAGGACTTTGAAGAAGTCAGCCACATGTCAACTTAGAGCTTTAGCTCCGGTTCACCTCAGGAGCTAAAATTAACATTGTGGCTTCTGACCCGGGAGAAGAAACCTCTGAGTAGTGACCACACCCTGCACCCTTTAAGATACAGAGCCACTCGGAGACGCGAAAACTCACGGCTGTTTCCAAAGCTGTGTGTTGGCTAACCTGCATGTTAAAAACTCCTTCCACCCCTTGTTCTGAGCATCCTTTTTATTTTTTTTTAAGATTTTATTTATTCATTCATGAGAGACACAGAAAGAGAGAGAGAGAGAGGCAGAGACACAGGCAGAGGGAGAAGCAGGCTCCATGCAAGGAGCCTGACATGGGACTCGATCCTGGGACTCCAGGGTCACACCCTGGGTGGAAGGCAGATGCTAAACCGCTGAGCCACCCGGGCTGCCCCTGCATCCTTTATATATATGCACATGTTGTTCGGCTTGTATTGACATCTAGACTAAGATAAAACATGGCAACGATGAGATTAGGGTCATAACAGTCTGGAAGGCATTAAATCAAACCCTAAATTAAATTGTCTGAAGTTCATTTAAAAAGCAGATGGTGCTCCTTCTGGAATAATTGCTCTGAGAACTATGAAACGGAGCCGCAACTCTCTCTCTTAACAGGAACGGCATTGGCACCCTCCCCCGGGGCCTCGGACCCTGGCAGTACATCTGGTTTGCAATTCCTTGGTTCCACTTCCATTTAGCAACCAGAGAGGCAGCTCCGCCTTGCACCCGAAGGACACGTCCTCATCAGGAAGCTACGCTACCACGGCGCTGCCCGGGGAAGCCCGTCCTGAGCGCTCGCCACCTGCCAGGCACGGTGCCCAGGGTACCTTCCTCATCTGCGGGCCAGAGAGCCAGGCCAGCGAGCGGGGAAGCTCCCTGCAGGAGGGCCCACCTCTTGTCACCACAGCTCCAGGGTTGCGGTCACAGATCTCCTGGGAAATCTGACCCAAACTGGATAAGTCTCAGGAAAAGTCCAGAACACAGAACCCTGCATGGTTTCTCAGGCCTCACACCCACTTCCCACTTGTCTCTCCTCCCAGGTTCACCCCTCATGGGGATCAGACCAGCACGGCAGTCACACCAGGCGATGACGGTATGCGGGGACAGCAGGGAGCATTCTCGGAAATCAGGGAACAACGATCCTCCTGAGACGTGACACTGGCAGGCAAGAAATCGTGGCAGGCAGAGGAATGCCAGCTTAACGAGGCCGAACATCTCCCCCAGCAAGAAGCCTTCAACGAAGGAACCCCCAAGTCTAAAGAAACCACGCATGTTCATCAAGAGAGGGGTGGGTCAGAGAGAGAAACAGCAAAATCAGCTTCAAGGGCAGGAGCATCACAGAGCACCTGTTTCCGGACCCCACGAGGGTCTGCCCTCCCCCAGGGCGTCCTTGCTTTTGCTGTTCAGCACGTGGGCTCACGAGGGAGAGTCATATTCCCCCCCCCCCGGGGCCAATTCGTGGGTCTCAGGGCTTTCTGGTTTCTGCGTCAGCCCTGAGAACACAGGAGCACAGCCCGTGTTTGCAGAGTGACTGACCAACCTGGAGAACTTGGAGCTCCCTCGAACGGCCCAGCATCCACAGACAAGTTCGGTCCCCAAACAAGGCTCTACGGCCCAGAAATCTGTTCTGTGAGCACGTTTTACCTTCGTATCTTGATCCATCTGGGTATATAAAAGTGCCGTGACCGTGCTTTTTATTTTTAACGTACTCTCCGATGTACCGAGCACCACTTTTAAATCTGTAGATCCCCTGAAACACATTGATTATATACGATTCATATCATTCCTGATACGTGCTCAGCCCTGCGGTGCTCGCCGCTGGCGCACTGACTGGAATAAGCTACCTCCCGGCAGCACCAGTTCTGACCTGGCCGTGTCTTTTACCGTGCTCGTAGTTCCCTTCATACGTGTCCCCGTTGGGCAGTCTTGCCTTCCCGTGTCCGTGTCGTTCGCCTGCCTCATTCCGTTCCCCGTCGTATTCCTGGGCAGAGGAGACAAGGATAATTACAGCTACTGTGTATTCGTCACTAAGGATGTCTTAAGCATCTTTACATAAAAGAGTATTTCATTGAATCCCTCCCAATCCCCAGCCCCATATTACAGGTGAGGTAGGCAACCACACCTGGGCGACATGAAGCATTGGTCCAAGGGGACACACCTAGTGCCTGTCACTGGTGGGAGTCTCACTCGCTGTCTCCGGTATCTGAGCTGGTAATTTATCATGATAATCCTTCACATTGTAAATGAGGCCAACAAATTGTGGAAAACGAGAGGCATTCCAAATTGTGTCCTTTATGGGGACGGATGTGAAGTAATACATGCAGGGGGAATAGGTCTCAGGCCACACAAATACCTCCCTGTTGCTGCCGCCAGTAATCCAGGAATTTCGAATGAAAAAACAAAAAAAAAAAACCAAAAAACAAAAAAACCCCACCCAACTCTTCCTTCAAGGATTCCTGGATTCCTGGGTGCCTGCGATGTCAGGACAGCTTTCAGCCTCAGGAGGTGTCAGGGGGAGGGGAAGCCACATGGGGAAACTGAGTCACTGGGGCTCAGTTGTCTCAAGAGTCCCCAACTCCACTTAGCTCATCTCCTTATCAAGTTTAAACTCTTTATCAGGGCAGCTCAGGTGGTTCAGCAGTTTAGCGCTGCCTTCAGCCCAGGGTATGATCCTGGAGACCCGGGATCGAGTCCCATGTTGGGGTCCCTGCATGGAGCCTGTCTCTGCCTCTCTCTGTCTCTCTCTCTGTGTCTCTCTCTCTGTCTCTCATGAATAAATAAATAAATTCTTTAAAAAAATAAATAAAAAAGTAATAAACTCTTTATCAAGAGAGTTTCAAACACTCATGGACTAATACGGTAAGATAGAAATAATTACATATCTTAAAAGTAAGTCAATAAAAAAAAAGAACCTAACACAAGCTTGTAATTCACCTGTTTTCTCCTTACCCTTCACAAAACAAACATTCCTCAAGCACCTCGTCGTGAGCGCAGAGTGCACGGAATAAATAATAAAAGGGCCGGGGCACAGAGTAATGATTTCACGTGGAGTTGGATCTGCAAAGACGTATTGCAACACAGGCTCAAACACGCTACTAGGACTTTGGAAACAAATGCTTCTGGGGTCCGCCCTTGCCTCGCACGATCTAGCCCAGAAATCCTTGCTCAGAGCAGAAGGTAAAAACGTGTGGCTTTACAGATCTAAATCACAATGTATAAAAGCTTCCCCCCACCCTTGCTCAGAAGCCCTCCCAGTGCACCCAATGCTGAGCCACTGGGGTGACTGAATAGAAGGGAACCCTTTAAAATGACCCCAGCTGTGGATTTATGGGCAACAAAAAAGTTACGAATCACTAGGGCCATCCTAGGAGACAAACTTGAAGTCTTCCTGGGCAGATGTTGTAAGTCGGGTTCCCCCGGAAGCAGACCCTGAGCAAGTGATTTTTTTTTAAAGTGCTCCCCGGGAAATCAATAAACGGGAGGGGGAAACAGATATGGAAGAGGAGCATGAGAATGTCTGGAGACGTCCCAGACTCAGCCTCGTTGCACAGGGGATTCTGGGGTGTAAATCACTGCAGTTTGTCCTGCTTTTTAAGCACGAGCGGCTGGCTGTCCTGAGAGCACGCAGATCCCGGGCTTCTGGCTCTGCCTGCCTGCCGGGCGGCTCTGCTTCGTAGAGGTGCTTGTCTTGAGCAGTAACTAGGGCAGAAGCTGGGAGACCAGTGCACAGAGCTGCCAAGAAGGTCCCAGAAGGCACCGACCCATGGGTCACAGCAAGAGGTGACAGATTTTTCAGTTAACTCGGAAACCATAAAATAATAATAATAATAATAATAATAATAATTCGGAAACCATCTCAACTCTGTATCCTGAACACACACACACCATGGCTGGGGTTCCCAACTGTCAGCCAAGAAATGGCACCCTCTGGGCTAGAGTGGATTCATCTGTGATTACATGTTTATGTGCACACGGCGCCCAGCTCACTCCACTGGATAAGGTGCACCCGGCACCGCCTCGCCACTGTCTGTCTACACCAGGGGATGAGTCCTACGACTTGGCTCAGCTCCCAGAGAAGCATTAGTCTTTCCAGGCCTCTAGGGCATGCCTTGGGGAAGCGTTCGCTGAGACCTTCTCAGCATCTCTTGAAGGCTGGCCAAGCAGCTGTCCGTCCACCCTGAGCCCGAGGAGCTGAGCTCCACTGCAGGAATGACTGTTCATCACGGCCCGGCAGGAGGGGTGGCGGCCAGCCACAGACACCGGGCAGGGAGCGGCAGCAGCGGATGCTCCACCTGGCGGGCATGGCAGGCGGAGGACGCTCCAGAGGCTGCCTCGGAACACGGGAGGGCGGATGGGGAGGAGACAGGAGGGGAGGCAGCGGCGACAAGGGATGTGGCGAGAAGATGTCAGTTGTTCTCCTTTCACCGCCAGCTTCCAGGACTGGGCGCTGCTTTGGCCGCACTGGCCTCCGGGGGTGCGCCCGGGGAGCCCCCACCCCTCACCCAGCTCTCACCCCAATATCATTCTCTCCCTCCTCCTCCAGCTCCTCCGAGCCCAGGTCCGACATGGCCTCGCCCGGGTCTGGGTCCTCGCCGCCACCAGCGCGTCTCTGTAGATCCCCACCGCCTGCACCGCCGCGTCCGCCGTCGCCATGGAGACGCGGCCTGCCCCGCCCCCTCCTCCGGCGCGGGGCGGAGCCACTGGCCGCGTCCGGGTGCTGCCATAGCAACAGGAGGGGCCCTCGGCCTATCGCCGCCCGGGGAGAGGGAGGGGACGGAACTTGAGATGAGAGGGGGCGTGGCCTGGAGCGGGAAAGCGCGGGGCGGAGCCACTGGCCGCGTCCGGGTGCTGTCATAGCAACGGGAGGGGCTCCACCAATCGCCGCCCGGGAAGAGGGAGGGGGCGGGACTCGGGAATGGAGAGGGGGCGTGGCCTGGAGCGCGATGGCGCGGGGCGGAGCCACTGGCCGCGTCCGAGTGCTGCCATAGCAACGGGAGGGGCTCCACCAATCGCCGCCCGGGGAGAGGGAGGGGGCGGGGCTCGGGGCGGACTTGGTACCCACCAGCTCTCTGACCTGGACACCCTGGGCTGGCCGGGATCCCGCCGTCGGCTGCTGGGTGATGCTGTAACGAGGAGGCACCTTTGGGTCAGGGCCGTAAAGAGGGGGTGCACAGAAGACGCACAGAGGCCAGCTCTGGACAGGGCCTCCCCTCTGCCCGCCGCTGAGTGCTGCCCCGCTCGACCCCTCCCTTGGCCTCTTGGGTCCCTCCGTGGGCCCTGCCCTCTCCTCCTCGCCTTTCTGGGCTCTCCTGACCAGTGTTGACAGTCCAGAGAAACGGGTCCGCTGACAGCCTTCCTCTTGTTTATAAACATCCCCTCCTGTCGCAGGGAGTCAGCTCTAACCTCTTAGCAGAGGCGCGTCCACACTGATTCGCTTCAGGGTTTGACACCCCTCCTCCACCTCAAACATGATGAGTCCAGTCTCCTCTATGTCTCAAGGAGGAAAGGACTTGAACTCCACGCATCATCCACCTGCTTGTCATCCACCCACCATCCATCCAGCTAGCCATCAGCCCCCACAGCACCTAGAAAAGGGTTTTTCACACAGTAGATGCTCAGCCAAGCCAGTGAGATCCAGTCCATCTGGGCCTTTAGATCCTCGGTGAGATGAAAACATGGTCGAGGTCTTTCTTCATCAATGGTACTTAAAAGAATCTCTATTTTGTTTGTGTCAATAAGGACCACTCAAATGAACAAGCAAAGGCCATTTATTCAGAGCTTGCTATAGCCGGGGAGTCAGCTGCCATCACTTGCATTTTGGCAGAGATTCACAGGTGGGCAGAGCTTGCAGTGGAAGAGAGGGGAGGCGCCAGGTGTGCCCCACCTGGGGGCTGTTGGCCCAGCTAACTAGAAGTGGGACATGCTAGGTGATTGGCTAGCAGGCTGAACCTTCTCTGGTTGGTCTTAAGCTGGAAGTGGAGACCACTCAGCTATTAATCAAGTCCTGGCCAGTTGTCATGGGGGTTATTGTTTGCTCCTAGGGCAGTTGTTTGATCCTGGATCAGACCGACTTCCTACAAGTCTGATGTACAGCACATCGGCTCCCTGGGCGGTTCCTATAGATAATGGGTTGGTTTCCTAGGCTGTGGCTTGTGGGTCAGAGTTCTGTTTTTCTATATGGTTTGGCCATTGGACATTTGTATACCCGATTTCTAATGTGTTTTTGAAAATCACACAAATAACTGTGTCTTCTCAAATCTACATATTGTTGGTTTTTTTTATTTTAAAACCTTGAACAATAACAATAACCCAATCATCTTATTTCCTTAAACGTAATATTTAAGTATTCAAAAAATTGACCTAAATGGGAGGGAAACAGGTCTTAAAGTCATCATTGTTCAATGAAAACATTACTGTCCTAGAGCCAGAATGCCTAAGTTCTAATTCTGGGCCCCATGGGTTTGGTGACCTCTGGCAATTCATCTGCCCTCTGAGCTTCGGATTCCTATTTTGTTTTTTGTTTGTGTTTTTGTTTTGTTTTGTTTTGATTCCTATTTTGTAAATTGGGGAGAATAAACTCTTCCGATCTCAAAGAGCTGCCATAGGAATCAAAGATAATATTTTATCAATGCATTATTATGATAGCTACCTAATGTCAACAATAAAAATATTACAAAGAAATCACGTATCATTAATAGAAAGTTCCTCCCATCCCCATCCCAAGGTGTGTTGTTTGTTGTTGCCCTGGAGGTAAGGGGAGGAGTAGCCAAGGAAATAAGAGTTTGATCTTGCCAACCACCTTACAGATGCCAAACCCGAGGAAGCCCCCCAGATCTTCCTGAGCACTCATACTCTGCAACCTTTCCCTCGGAAACAATGACGTAGTGGATGGTAATGATCTTAACCAAATCTCAGGCCCAAATCTTAGGCATCACTTAAAAAAAAGAAAAGAAAGGAAAAGAAAAAAGAAAAGAAAAGAAAAGAAAAGAAAAGAAAAGAAAAAAGAGAAAGAAAGAAAGAAAGAAAGAAAGAAAGAAAGAAAGAAAGAGAAAATACAAGCAAATTAACACCCAAGAACCTACAACTAGCATTATTCGTTAGATGCAAAGAAAAAAGATCATAAGGAACAAAACTTAACGGTTTTTCTTGTGGGGAAGAGTGAGGTCTTTGGGACACGGGTGATCATGATCTTCCTTATACTTCTTTATAAATGTCGCCACCTTCACTACAACTAAACATGTCTTTAAAATATTCTTGACATTTTATTATAGAGATCAGAAATCTGGAACAGTGATGATAATTCAAGTATGTCTTAGCTTTTTTCTTTTTTTTTTTTTGCACGTGAGGATGACTTGGTCTATCAATGACAGTAACTAAGGTTTGCTAAGTTCTGACTGTGTGCTGCAGTGTTTTAAGAGCTTCATATGGATCGTGTTGTTGCATCCCGTCACCCCCCCCCACACACACACACACACTGTACAGCTAAGGGAGAGAAGCCCCAGGGGGGTGAGGTCATTGCTCAGGTTCATAGAATCAGCGGGGTCAAAGCCATTGCTGTTCCCCGGGACACCCCACTGCCTTCCAAATCTCTGACTCCAAGGAGCAGCTGCGGTGTCCAGGGGGTGGCCTTAAAAGCACCTACCAAGCAGAGAACCACTGGCTCAGTGAGCTCTATTTTTTTTTCTTTTTTAAGATTTTACTTATTCATCAGAGACGCAGAGACACAGGCAGAGGGAGGAGCAGGGTCCCTGCGGGGAGCCCGATGGGGGACCGGATCCCAGGACCCCGGGCCACGCCCTGGGCCGAGGGCAGCTGCTCCACCGCTGAGCCCCCGCGCCCTCCCCCCGCCCCCGAGCTCTAGGCTGAGGAAGCCAGAAGCGGCTCAAGCAAAGCCTGGCGTGGACCCCACGCTAGCCGGCGCCGGGTGCCCGGCCCCACCGGGCCCTACCTGACCGCTGCCCCACGCAGGCTGGTCTCCCCTCCCATCTCCACTGTCCAGATAAGGCAAGAACGGGGACAACGGGCGGCCCCGGCCCTCGCAGCAGCACAGACCTGCCCCGAACCCCTCCCCTTGGAGAGCTCAGGGCAGGCGCTCCCGGCCGCGCGGCCGGTCCCAGGAGGGCTGCACCACGCAGCGGGCCCGGAGCCCGACGCACCTGGGCCCCCACTCCCGGGAGACCGAGCGCCGGGGGGCACAGCCGCCTCTCAAACTCCGAAGGCTTCCTCCGCCTCTCCTCGGAGGCTTGAGGGGCCAAGCGTGGGCGCCCTCCCCACGTGCCCAGAAAGGCTTTTCTTTCCCGCAAAGAGGGAGGAGACCTCTTCACCCCCGAAGGACCTCTAGAGGGACACGATGCCCATCACTCACCTGCAAGGTCTCCCATCATGCCCAGCGAGCCCTCCCGTCACCCCCAGCGAGCCCTCCCGTCATCCACCAGCGAGCCCTCCCATCACCCCCAGCGAGCCCTCCCATCACCCCCAGGGAGCCCTCCCATCATCCACCAGCGAGCCCTCCCATCACCCCCAGGGAGCCCTCCCATCACCCCCAGGGAGCCCTCCCATTACCCCCAGCGAGCCCTCCCATCATCCACCAGCGAGCCCTCCCATCATCCACCAGCGAGCCCTCCCGTCATCCACCAGCGGGCCCTTCCCATCACCCCTAGCGGGCCCTCCCATCATCCACCAGCGGGCCCTTCCCATCACCCCTAGCGGGCCCTCCCATCATCCACCAGCGAGCCCTCCCGTCATCCACCAGCGGGCCCTTCCCATCACCCCTAGCGGGCCCTCCCATCATCCACCAGCGGGCCCTTCCCATCACCCCTAGCGGGCCCTCCCATCATCCACCAGCGAGCCCTCCCGTCATCCACCAGCGGGCCCTTCCCATCACCCCTAGCGGGCCCTCCCATCATCCACCAGCGAGCCCTCCCGTCATCCACCAGCGGGCCCTTCCCATCACCCCTAGCGGGCCCTCCCATCATCCACCAGCGAGCCCTCCCGTCATCCACCAGCGGGCCCTTCCCATCACCCCTAGCGGGCCCTCCCATCATCCACCAGCGAGCCCTCCCGTCATCCACCAGCGGGCCCTTCCCATCACCCCTAGCGGGCCCTCCCATCATCCACCAGCAAGCCCTCCCATAATCCACCAGGGGAGCTCTCCCATCACGCCCAGCGGCCCTTCCCATCCGCCCCCAGGAGGGATTTTCCATCCGCCCCCGGTGCACGCCTGCGCAGAGGCAGCCCTCGGAGAAGGCGGGAGCGCCGAGGCGGTGGGGCGTCGGGTGAGTGCGGGCGGGGGGGGGGGGCCTACGGTTCCACCAGTTCGTGTCCCCGGAAAGGACTTATCGTCGCGCCTTCCCCGAGTGTGAGTGACGGAGACCCGCCGCCCTCCTACGAGAAGGCTGAGTGGAGGGAGCCCGGGCCGGGCTGGCCAGGCCGCTGAGGGCCCGCCTGCAGCTCGGGATGGCTGGGGGGGGGGGGGGCCTGCCCCACTGCACCCCTCCCTGACCGCCTGCCGCAGGGGGCTGGGGGTGGCAGTTGCCATGGCGACCAGCGGCGTCCGAGCCTGTCCCT